AACTCTCTTCTCATTTTGATTCATGTCACTTTTCCTTTGCAGGTCATATCCTTTTTCAGTCAAAAGTTTGAATGATTTGTTGGGATTTATCTGCACAGGATCAAATTTTTTCTCATGAAATTCTCCTGGATGAACTGTTTGAGAAATAAGCAGTGCTGAATCAATGCAATATATTTTTATTTGCGTTGTGCATCAATGAAATTATGGACAGATATGCTATTATGCTCCTGTAGTACAACTCAAAAAGCTTGAACAATAGGAAAACCCTTTGTGAGTATATGCATGTAAATCGCAGTAACATTGTGCACATATATTTCGGAGTTTAGAAAACTTTATGAATTGTCTGTTTACTGGCAAACTGACCCTGTCCAAATGACCATTAGGATCACCAGGGAAAAAAAGCAGAGAGCAATCAGTAGATTCATTCTCTGGCTTAGTTTAATTTATGTTTCAATATCTGTTTAGCTTGGCCTGGCTTGGGCAGTAATGCTGATCCTTTTGAGCATATAAGAATTGGATTTGATGCACACAGCCTCTTGAACAAAGTTTATAAGCAAGAGTTTGACTATCGTACATGTGTGAACTGACTGAAGTGCATGCCATTAGTACCAGTATGTCCAGAAGACTGGAAGCACTTACAATTTGCATATGCATTCAGCATTTATACAAAGACATCGTAAGACAACATAACATAGCTGAAAGTATCTCATGTGGTGGTCATTTCATGAATGGTAGTATGCCCTTGGAATGTTGGTCAAATTTCTTGATGGTTTATAATTTGATTCAATTTATTATGCATAATACACCTTGTTGAGTGGTCGATTTTGTTGGCTTGACCTTTTGTACATGTGCTTGTCTGCCCAAGGCGTGAAGTGAAGCGCTTTGTTGATCTAACTGCTGATGAGACCAGTGATTTGTGGTTCACGGCAAAGAAGGTTGGCAGTCAGCTCGAGAGATTTCACAGTGCAACCTCGCTCACATTTGCCATCCAAGTAAGAAAGTTCCTCATAAACTCATGCTATCTCTTCTTTTTTTGTGTTAGAACATAGGATGAGTGTTCTTGCTTGTTATCACAGCCACTAGGTGATCAAAGCATGCTGTGTGTGTTTGAACACTAACCACTTGAAGTTTGTTGGTGCTTTAGGATGGGCCGCAGGCAGGACAGACTGTGCCTCATGTTCACATTCACATCATACCAAGGAAAGGTGGCGACTTTGAGAAGAATGATGAGATATATGATGCAGTAAGTTGTAGAATATCCTTCATTATTTGTGCCTGAACCTGATCTATATGCTCCAAAATGAGTGTAACAAATAATTCTGTCTGTGTCATTTAGATTGATGAGAAGGAAAAGGAATTAAAGCAGAAGCTGGATTTAGACAAGGAAAGGAGTGACAGAAGCATGGAGGAGATGGCTCAAGAGGCAGATGATTACAGATTGCTTTTCTTGTAGATGATCCATCAAAAGAGACTTGTTAAAAGAAGGAAGTTGGAACCTATAGTTTCCTTTACTATCCAATGCATTAGTTCGAACATTTGATTCTTAGTTAAAAACCTGATTTGAATTGCAGATTTTAAAGGGAAAATAACTAGTAGATGTTATGAATACGTTTTCTTACATTACACAATTTGGTCGACGTTAACATCTTTTGTTTTTAAGGTATTCCAGGAATGATGATGCTATGTCTTATATATTTGCCTTTTTTTTTTTTGACGGTCAAGTTGTCATTAGACAAGCATGTGTATCAATTGATATTATTAACAAATGGAGAAGGCTGCGTCTGCAAGGCATTCAATTTCAGACACAGTAATTCATCGAATTGGTGGAAATCACTGGCTTACCAATTAATTTCTCACGGTATCTAAAGCAATGAATATTTGCGCTTGACAATTCAGTAATTGTCATTCAGAAAGGAGCAATCATCATTTTTGGTTGCCTGGTGCAAATAATTACTGACTTGTAATGATGTGTTTTCTAATGATTGTGGCTTGGTTTCAACTACATAGTCGCATATATTTGCTTAAAAATAGAATTTTCTGCGTTCTAGTAATTTAACTGGGAGTTGGAAGAAGTTTCTGAAAGCAAGCAGTTTAAAAAGGATAATCACCAATCACCATCACTCGGGGTAATGGACAGAACATCTTTTTTGTAGTGGGATTCCGGACATTTCATGGCTCCCTTGAAGACTTGTAGCAGAGTACGTCTCCTGTCGCTCAAGTCCTAGCAGATGCTTTCCAATAATGATTTTAGGAAACCTGCTGCTTGCTCAGGATTTAGTCAGCATACGAGTAACTTTAGGCGTTTGCTTTTATCCAAACCAGTTGGAGGAAGACACTGCTATATGGAAACCAACAATCAACGATAATAAGTTTTATATAACTTTTTCTCTGGGGGAAAACTCTTAGGAAGAATCTGGGTTAAAGCCCATCTACAGCAGAAAATAAAAAGCTTCAGTTCTAGCTTTCATAAAATTGCATCAATTTCAGTATTGAAAACAATATATTCATGTTGCTTATCGCAAACGATCATTAGTTGTTGACTTCATGTTTGTAGTTGCTGTTCATTTCTTTCTTTGAAACACATTTCGTCTATAAATTTTTATATTATACTGTCTGTTGACGTTTCTTTGAAATAATAAAGTTTGCCAGTTTTAGTTAATACTTGCTACTTACAGGACATCTGATGGAGGCTGTTAGAGATACTTAAATTTGTAGGATAGATTGTGATCTTTCATTTTCTTGAGTGCAAATTTACAAACTAGAAAACTTCCATGGAGTTCTGTTCTTCATTCCTCTCCCCTCCTACGTCTGTTTGTCATAATTAATCACTTAAATGCTATTGATTAAAGTCTATATCTTTATGCATCGGAGTAAATCCAATAGGACCCTTTTGGATGAGAGAACCAAGCTTGCTAAAAGCTTAGGGACTGCCCGTAGGTTCATCTTTCTTTGAAAGCTACAAATCCCCAAAGAACAGCTTAGTTAGCAAGGAATTTGCCATCTGAGCAACTGTTCCTATCGCTTTTTTTACAGATATGCAGAACGTGGTGATCAAAGAATCAAATGTACCAAAAACCCCACCAGTATAAAAATATAATTTTGAAGTTGGATAACCACTTAATCAATTAGCTTTAATAATCTCTACTATTTTTTCTAGTCAAAATAATTGATAACTTATATTTAATTTTTAGGTGGCCAAAATTATTCATGATTAGTATGTGCAATTTTTTTTTTGATGGAGATAAGAACTTTTCGATACTTAACTAAGTATTTTTTTAGAGAAAGAAGATACAAGAATATCTTACAAAAAGATGTTCTGAAAATATAAATATAATAGAGAATTGGAGATTGTAAACTTTTGTTCTAAAAATCTCATTGTATATTTATAATCCTTGAGTCTTGTCCTTTTGCAAAAAGAAAGGTTTACAGTGTAATTACTCTGATAATATTTAATGATGGATAAATATCTCTTACATTTATATTAATGTTTGATGAAAACATAATGGGTCCTTAAAGGACTTATACACCTAAAAATATGTAGAGAGATTTATAGTTTAAAACGTTAAATATAGTTAAGCCTATAAAGGCCGAGTTCTTCTCTGAGATTTAAACCCAAGTCGATCATTCCCCTGGATATGCCAATGGATGGTCCTCACCTTGGACTTGGCTAACCGCCAAGTCCAAGTGTCTTGGGTTTGACAAGTTTTTTACACCTATGTCACTTTGAACTTGGTTGATTGACAAGTCTTGACTAACTATAAAGTTCAAGCGTTGTGGGTTTAACATGAGTGCTAGACCCATGTTTCTTAGACTTGGCTGATTGTCAAGTCCAAGCGTATTGGGTCTAACATGTGTGTCAGATCTATATTTTTTGGATGTGATTGATTGTCAAGCCAAGTCCAAGCGTCTTAGGTCTAGCATTTGTGCTAGACCCACGTTTCTTGGACTTAATTGACTGATAAATTCAAGCGCCTTGGATTTAATAAATATATTAGACCCATGCTACTTTGTATTTGGCCGACTACCAAGTTTAACTAATCAATATATAACAACAAAAAAGACATATTTTTTTTAAAACTTTCTCAGCAACCAAATAAAATAACATTATAAAGGAACAAATTACAGTGTAGACTATAGAGGAAGCCGTTGATGATGGAAAAAATGAAGACCGCTGATTATAAAGGTTGAAGAGTAAGTCATTGTTAAAGATTGAAGAGGAGAACACTGTTGATGTAGAGTGAATAGTTTGAAGATTGAAGAGCGTTGTCGCTGTTAATGAAGAGGAAGAGCCATTGATAATGGAGAAAAAATTGTTAAAGATTGAAGAGGAGAACACTGTTGATGTAGAGTGAATAGTTTGAAGACTGAAGAGCGTTGCCGCTGCTGTTAATGAAGAGGAAGAGCCATTGATAATGGAGAAAAAAAGAGTGTTGCAGCTGTTGATGAAGAGAAAGAAAGCTGTGAGGCTTGAGATCGTTAGCTGTTAATTGAGAAAAAAATTAGATTTAGGGATTTAGAATTTTAGAAATTTAGATTTTATTCTGTGTGTGTATAAATAGTTGATACAAAGATAAAAGAACATGTAATAGCCAATAACCACCAGACAATTAGAGCTTGGAGGAAACAATAACAACAATTTATGTTTTCTGATGATATCATTAAAACGGTTATCAAATCTTTATTTCACCTGATTTTAATGATTTCACTGATTTTTATTCAATTTCACCTATTTTTTAGTTTTTAAAACAATTTCACACGTGTAATGAAATATACATTAACTTATAAAATCGTATAATTTTTTAAATTGAATTATAATTTTAACAACCTTGAGTATGGTTACGGCTGTTGTCATTGAATCACGATGATTCTAAGGGAGGAGCTGGTCATTGGTGGCTGCCTCTGGTAGATGTAAGAGATGACAGCAGTGGCAGAAAGAGAAACAAAAGAGAGAAGATGGCAGAGAAAAAACTAAAAAAAAAAAAATAATATTTTTTGTTGACTTTGAATCCTAATTTTTTCGTGCTCAAAGCATGAAATCCACTTCCTATCTATAGGAGTGAAAAAAAGGTAGTCTTATCTTCATTGCTGCTCAGATTATAAAGAAGAAAAGGCCTCTCTTGCTGTCAGAATTGCACAGGACCAACAGGTTCGCCCTATCCATAATGCAAATCTACTTTCCCCAAGGTAACTTCAAAAGGTAGATATACCTGAAGGAAGTTCCACTACATCAGAGGCTGCAGAGAGTTGTTCTATACTGGATTAGCTTGAGAGCTATGATGAAGGGAAGAGCAGATCCAGCTCTCCGCATTAATTGATGAAGGGATTTAGATATGTTGTTCTTCATATTTTCGTTACATGGCAATTCGATACGTGGATATGTTGCAGGTTTTACTGACATATTTTGGAGCATTTCAATAGGTCGAAAGAGGAACTGGTGATTGATCTACTAAGTAGCCTTGCAAGTGACTTCGAAATATTCAAGGAGAATGACCTGTATATGCTTCTGTGAAGCAGAGAGAAAAAAGAAGAAAAACATAACTTAATCCGTACAGACAAAGGAAAAAAAAAGCAATAAAATAAGTACTTGCCAAATGCCAATCATTTGCGAGGCAAACAAGCTGCAAACTACATGCTTGCATGATGGGTAATTACAAGAAATAATCATCAATAAACTACTGTCGAGTTCAAATTTCAGCAGGGCAATATCACCGTGGAATCAGATAGTAAATTCAAAGAAGGGCATGGGCATTAATGCTTTCAGCATTACAAGCTGCCCACCGAAAAATACACCAATTATCCAGCAATATTAATAACAGTAATTGGTTGTCATAGCATTCTCTTGGAATAAGAAGCTGCAGGAATGCCAACTATCACTATCAAAAAACGAGAAAACTTCGACAAATCAGCAAATAGATTTTTCTCAAAAGAAGAACGATGTTAATCATTTGGTAAGGCAGGAAGGACCAAGCTGGTTAGTGGGATAAATTCTCATGAAAACCCCACTTGGACTCTAACCTTTCAAAACAAAACAAGAGGTTATTGCTTGTGTATTGCATCATCCAGTTCCAGTTCCATCCCTGCACGTTTTTTAATAGAGGCAGTGGCATCCAGAGGTGATTTCAGTTTAAGTTGTAGCTCCTTAAATCTCTCAACATCAAAATTCAGCTTCTTGAACAACTTCCTTTGCCTTGAGAGAAATAGCCTCTTCATCAGGTCTTGGTAAGTTGGATCTCTTGCAGTGATCAGGAAGTATGCATAACCTATGACTATGCTACCGGTTGTGCCAAAAAAAGCTATAGGTTCCATTACATCCCATGAAAATTCCCAAAATGTTAGCCGGAAAAACAGCCCAACCTGTAATAAAGCTAAACACAACCCACTATAAAGGATGCGGCGAACCTGCTTATGTGCCAGCACATCAATTTCTTCTTTCTTCCCCTGAAGTATCTTTAGCTCCTCTCTTGCAGGGTCGTCCTCAGGAGTTAGAGCAAGCGGCACTGCTCTTCTAATCAGATATACCACCTGCAACATAGAATATTATCAAGGCACAACCAATCTGCAGTCAGGAAGATTAATATCCAAGGGCTAGGGGAGAAAAAAAGAAACAGTTTAAATCCCTCGTCTTGTTTAAATGCAAAATCATGCACTTTCTAAATCTGTACCAATGGTATTGTATAGATAAACAAGTGAAAACACAAAATAAAGATCACGTTGCTTCAGCCTGATTTAAGTTGGTGCCCAATGATCACAAGACATGCTATCTTTAGAAGTCAAAATTAGTGTGCTTCTGCATACGAGGAACCGAGACACAAGCAAAAGCAAATTATGATGAATATTAGCAGACAAACTCGCTGCCAAATGCATAAACGGTTAGTGGATAAAAAAAATCTACATGTCTATCATTCTTCTGACTTCCTTTGCTGCACCCTATACACAGAGAGGATTGTGAATATCCCCGATTGTCATTCCAATAAGCCAGGAAAGAAGTAGATCTGCTTCTCAAAACTACATTTTGATGAAATGCAAGAAAATGAATAGAGCATCTACATCCCTTTTCTCAGCTAATATTATATTACTAGTAATAGAGATGAAATTTTGAAAAGGTGCTGAATAAAAGGAGAGAAACCAATAGAAGAAGCATAAGCTCGAACAGTGGAGAAAATATAGACAGAGAGAAATAAGCGATATGGGAAGGTGCAGAGAAGAATTGATAGTAACTTCTCTGCTATATAATTGTGATGAGCGCTGGAACTTGAAAATCCCTTGAAAAAGGAAAGCGAAATGAATGATGGGAATTCCACAATCAGAATAATAAAAACAGTGAAAAGAAAGAGAGGGGGAAGAAGAAGAGAAGATGCGGTGTCTCTCTCCACAGTGGGAGTCTGCCCCACCACCACCACCCCCCAAAATCCACCCGAAAAGTAGACTAGCAGGCAATTGATTGAATGCAAACATTAAAAATGAAAAACATACAAAGGTATAGATAAAGGAAGAAGGGTAGAAGAGGAGGTATGGCTAGTGGCTACCTACCTTATCAGGATGAAGATAGACTTTGTCACCGAAGAGAAAGACGACACCAGCATCGTCAAGGACACGAGCAAAAGTAACGGCTTCATCATAAGTTCTGGCAACACCCATGCTTTGGCAGGCTTCAAGGAGGTCTGAGTATGGGATAATTTCCTTGGTTTCCATGCCAAGCTTCATCTTTAGAGCCTCCACATTCACCTGTCTCATCAGCCTCTTCGCCTCCGCACATGTTATCAAAACATTTTTATTACTATCATTGTTACTATTATTAGAGGAGGGTGAAGAATCATTATCATTAGCATCAGCATCGATCATGGAAGAGAAACAAAAGGATGTGATTTTGCTGCAAAATGGTGTTGCAGCAGCAGCTCCTCCTCCACCAGAAAAACAAAAGGAATAGGCAGAGGAAGCAATGGTCCTGGTGACGCATCGCGCTGATGTTGAAAGGGATTTAGTGTTGGCCGCCAATAGGGTGCGCTTCAAAACCCCAGAGGCAGAGGAGGACCAAAATCTGCTCCACATTGTTTTTTTTTTTTCCTTTCCTTAAATCTATCTCTTTGGATTGGTACTCTATAATAAATAGTTTGGGTCTCAATAGTTACCAGAACTTATTGGCCTTTCTTCTTTCTGACTCCTCTCCTTCACCTCTCATGATCTCTGATACATCTACACAGACAGACAGACAGACAGATCTGCCCTTTCTTTTCCTGAAAGAAGTAAATAGCATCTATCTTATACTTACTTTCTCAAACAAAAGGAAGTAGGGAAGCCAGCCTTTAGCTTTTAGCAACAGGGAAAAGTGAAGGGGAAGGAAACAAATTAAACCCGAAGGGAAAACGAAGGGGGAGGGGAGGAAGCAGCAGGCAGTTGGAAACAGTAACTATTTATAGTGTCGAGAGGGGAGGGATGACTGGTAGGTTAGGGTAGGACCAGGCAAATTCAATGCAGGCGACCAAAAAGAAATGCTTAAAAATTAGACCATACATTCTACAAAGACGTACGTGTGCACTGCAGCCCAAGCTGTGGCTTGGTGTGACTTCCCAGTCCTCCCTTGCTTGTTACTTCTTTCCTTTCTACAATTAAAAATATAATTAAAATATCAAATTAATAAAAGAATTTTTTTGAATAATATAAATATAGTTTCTTTATTACATGCATTTTAATAATAAAAAGATATTTAAAAAAGCTAATTATATTTTAATATATTTTATATTAATTTAATAATAAAAAGTTATCTAGAAAAGCCACTAATATTTTAATATATTTCATGTTAAATTAATTTTAATATAATTATATAACTAAGTTAGATATTTTATATATTATATAATTAATATGAGTAATTTATAAAAGTAATATAAAATTAATGAAGTAATATGAAAGTTAAAAGATATAATTTAAAATTAAATTTAAAATTTATTTATATGAATATTTTTAATTTTTAATTTTATATATTACCGTTAAAAATTTAATTTTTAAAAGTAAATTTAAATTCAAACATTAAAAAAAAAGGCCAACATTTTAAATTTTAATTTTAATTTTTTAAAAAAAAAATTCAAGCTTTGAGAAAATGACCACTAACATTTTAAATTTTAAAATTTCAAATTTTAAAAAAATGACCACCAACATTTTTAATTTTAAAATTTTAAATTTTAAAAAAATAACCGCCAACATTTTAAGATTTTAAAATTTTAAAAAATAATCGATCTATAAATATTTTCATATACCTTAACATTTTTCTTCATTATTTTCTTCTCTTTAATCTTTATTATATTTCACTAAAATTTATTATGAATAATTCTAATTTTAATTTTTATGATGCTTTTGATTTTGATGATGACACTCCTGTGTTTGCTTTTCAAGTTGCTACTGTTATGGTTGCTGAAAAAGAATTGAATAATCAATGGTCGAGAACAGGGTATCGTGATTCTATTCTTAGTCACAATATTGTCAATCGTAATAGAAAGAAAGGTGAGTTAAAATTATCTAATGATTATTGTGCCGAAATCCTAAATTCACTGAAAATCAAGTTCGAAGAAGATTTAGGATGAGTTGTTGTCTTTTTCTTCATATCGCAAATATAGTAGAAGCTTATCATCCATATTTCAAACAAAGAACAAATGCTCTTAGTGTTCTTAATTTATCTTGTCTTCAAAAGATAACTACACCTCACAGAATTCTTGCATATGATATTCTTGCAGATCTTACTGATGAATATCTTCGAATTAGAGAAACCACTAAGATAGAAATTTTTAAAGCTTTTGTCAAAGCAATTGTAAATTGTTTTTGGTAATTGGTATCTAAGGGCATTAAACATGGCTGATATTTATCGATTATTATCAATTAGAAAACAGTGTGGATTTCCAGAGATGTTAGGGAACATTGACTGTATGCATTGAAAATGAAAGAAATGCCCAATTGCATGACATGAGATGTATACGTTATTGTCATGGACCAACTATAATTATAGAGGTAGTGACTTCACAAGATCTTTGGATATGACATGCTTTTTTTTGGAATACCTGGATCATTACATGATATTAATATTCTTGATTGATCACTTATCTTCGCTGCACTTGTTGAAGGTTGTACTGCTCCTATCAATTGTACAATTAATAGGCATGAATATACAATGGGATACTATTTAACATATGAGATTTATCCTAATTGGTCAACATTTATTAAGATAATCCTAAGGCCATTAGGAGCAAAGAGAAAATATTTTGCAAGTAAGCAAGAGTATGTACGAAAGGATGTGGAGCAGGTATTTAGGGTGCTCCAATATCATTTTGCAATTGTGCGTGGACCTGTTCGATAATAGGATGAAGAAACGTTTATAAATATTATGAAAGTTTGTATAATAATGCATAATATGATTATTGAGAATAAAAGAGCAATGAACCTTGGATTTGATTATGAACATGAAGTCAATTTCTTTATATCAATGTCACATGGTGAAATACCAAAATTACATGATTTTCTTCAAACTCATAATCGAATCAAGGATAGAGTAATTAGCTTTTAACTACAAGAAGATTTGGTTGAAAATTTGTGGGAACAATATGACAATGAGTATAATCATTAGATTTGAACTTCTTATGTCATCATAAGTTTCAAGTTTTTTATATTTTTTTTATTATGATTGTTATCTTTTAAGGTAATTAATCCTACTTATTATTGTTAAGTGTTAGAAGAATTTCAAAAAAGTATTATGAATTGATACTACTTTTATAATAATATATTTAAAATAATCAAGAAATTTCTACATATTTAATTAAAAATACATTACATTAAACAATAAATCAATCTAGTTAATTACAAATTAAAACCCCTTTTTTACATAATTTCTAACCTTTTATTTTAAAAACACGCTGTAGAAATTGGATCCAAATTAGAAATATTCATTTTCATAATTTGTTTTTCTTTCTCAGTTCTATCAAATTCTTGTTTCTCTTGACTTTGTTGAATCATTATAGCTTGCTGTTCTAACATAATTTTTCTATTTTGTTTCTTCTGATCCTCAATTTCAACTAGAGTATCCTGAAATGTTGTAAGATATTTGTTACAGTTATCTCCCTAACTTTATCTTTTCTTTGTTTAGGTATAAATCATTCCTTTGTAGCTTTCTGACTAATTAGTATATCTTGATAAATCAACAGTTCATTGTCTTCTCATAAAACTAACAGAATCAGGGTTAGATGGAGATGCTGAAGCCGGATTTGCATTGACATGACTTTTTTGTTTCTTGTTTGACCTTTAATGTTGACTTGCACACTTAAATTACCATTTGGGTTCTTTTCTTAAGATCATAGTTTTAAAACCTGACTCGGTATAATGACCGGGTCATAGTCAAATGAGTTGACTTGGGTCAACCAAAAAAAAACTTTTATGATTATTGATCAATAACTAAGGCAATGGATCCTACAATGTAAACTTAATAAACAAAATAATTCTATTCTTTGCTTTATATAAACTCATTCCAGCGAGCCTTCAAGCCTGAACATGCTTTTTTTTTTAAGCCAAATTGCCAATGGCAGACTCTTATAAAATAAAATGACAAAAAAATTCAATGCATCATAGATTCTAACCAACCTCATTGAAATTAACCTCATATTCAGTAGCTAGAGCTAAATCTAATGCACCACCAAATTCTAAAAAAAAATCCCAAATTACAAATTATTCCAAGAAAACAAAAAAAAGTAGAATCATAACAAAACCCATTTTTTCAAAACAGAAATTGAATCATAAAAATCATAGCTTGATAACAACAAACAACAATTTATTTGGATTCAACAACTTACTTTTGATTGAAGGAAAGAAGAGAATTAAGTCATCATATGAGTACTGACCATAATGTTGAAGGACGAGATTTGGGTTATCAGCAAGCTTGAAATCAAGATCGAAACCATGAGATTTGAGAGAATTGAAGAAGATTGAGTAGGAAGATTTCAGTGACAAGTTGTAAATGAGGACTAAGAGGCGACAATCTGTTGCGAAACATGTAAAGAAAGAGAGGAAGAGAATAGGAAGGAGTGTGACAGGTAGAATTATTAAGATTAAGAAACTGTTTTTTCTCATTTTTGCAGTCTTGGCTGCCTAAGTGAGAGAGTGCGAGAGAGAAATAGAGAGAGGGGGGGAAGGGGCTGAAGGCTTACTAAAAAGCTAAAGTTGATGTTGTTGAACATATATATATAAAACAGCAACCGGGTCTTAGCTAGGTTTACTCGGGTCAACCGGGTCCTAAGTTGACTCGTTGGGGTGGCCAGATTTTACCGTGCCAATTCCCTAATTGGTCTTTTCATCAAACCAGCTCGGTTCCAGCCTCGGATTGACCCACTTGGGCGAGCCAGGTTTTAAAACACTACTTAAGATAATTGAAATCGTTCACCAACGCAAGAAGCGTATATTTATCGAGCATTATTAATCTGGTAAAAAATTAGAAAAATTAAATAATATTAAAATATGTGTTAAATAATTTAACATGAAAATGAATATTAAAATTACCCTTGATTCTTCGGTAATTCCACTTTTTGATGATTTTCAATTTCAGTAACAAATCCAACAAATATATCGGCTTCTCTATTTATTTCTTGCCATCTACTTGAGATGTTTAGTTGGAAACAATTATTCAAATTCCTTCCATTCTCTACAAAGTAAGTATATACTCGAGCTCTTAACTGTTTTATTTGTTATTCAACTCCTATAATTAGATTCTTGCATGTATTTAGCCATGCAGAGACAAGTAAACAATCTTTCTCTGGTGAGATGTTTTTACTTTTTTGTGATTTTTTATTGTATGGACATTTATATTCAAGTATTGATTAGTACTTAAAAGTGTATTTTTT